CTATCTATCTATCTATCTATGTATCCAATTAGACGATGATTAAAATGGCAAATTTTTGATAGATACATTTGGGCAACGTTTGGCAGTAGTCTTCGAGGCCTGGAAAGCTCTCGCCCGACTTCTCCTCAGATTTTTTGCAGTAAACTTCTTGTATGGGTGTCGAACTGTTTACTTGCCTATCCATTGTCCGATCCAAACGATAGAGTACTGGGTGATTACCTGCAATTTAGTCCTGCTGGGCACGCCAACCATCATTTATTAAAGGCGTTCTACCAAGATATAACAAATCGGGCTTCCGGTTCAAAGGCTTCAAAAAACGAGCAGAGCTGAGGTGTAGAAGGCCTAGAAGACTTTGGTGTCGTGAAAGGTGAATTTATCCATGGAGACTGTCTAATGCTCCATAAACCCCCTTGGTAACGGCGTTTTCACCAATTATCCTTTTTCACATTATGTTTAGATTGAATACTTGGCACCAAATAATACGTCGTTGGAAATCAAGCTATTCACCGCGTGAAAGCCATTTTACAGCGGGGTGGATTCATTGCAAGCAACTGTTCACAAAATCCCCGGTGTTATGGAACCAGCATCTGCAGAGTGTGAAATCAAATAAAAATTATTCGACGAGAAATCAGTGGAGGGGAAATAAATTTAACTGGTTCTCTTTTATTACAAGGTGAGATGACTCAGTGGTTAGAGCGCGAATTTATTAACCCGAAGGTCCGTGGTTCGAACCCGACCTCTACCTTTTGACTTTCCTTGTCCAGGCTTGGGCATTCTGGCAATATCCCAGCCCACGTACTTCCTTCCGGTGGCATGGCAATTAGGGACTGAAAGGGTACTACCGTTGAACGATTTCCACACTTAAACCAAAATTAGCTCACAAGAAATTTCGGTCATATCAGCTAAAACAACGACAGTATGTCTGTTTATACACCCAATAAAAAGCATTTCGACTAGATCCAAGAAGTACAACTATAGTTGTTCCATCTAAACTAAGAAATAATATTCCCTGGGTTAAGTGAATCACAGTGGATTGCGCGCAATTACTTGATTGAGTGTACAACTTGCACACTACACTCTCAAAGGTTTTTGGTCAGTTGGGCGTTGATCTGTTCTTCGTCGAGAATCTAGCTACCACCGATTCAGGATCATGGTGATTAGAGAATTGGCAGTACCTTACTCTTGGTACCTGATCAGATGGCTGTTGATCTGTTCGCCGAGCTTGGCAATTGATTTACAAACGTTTCGTCACCACTCGAGGAAGCATCTTCAGTGCGCTGTTGGTTGGGTCCTTACTCTGTTTATCATACATACAAACACCTCAACTTTTCTGGAGGTTAGGGTACCCCAAGTATTATACGGAATACTGTTGATACATGCTGACACCGGGGGGGATTCGTGTGCCTTATGAAGTTTAAAATAGATATCATACACCTCTTTGGTTTGTAGTTAAGTCTGACTTCCCTTGCAATAAAAACTCGAAAGTTGTAGCTGAAGTATATTCTTACAAGTTCAATAAAGATTCCCCCGCTTTCTCGTGCTCCGGAGGGCAACGGAAATCGCTGCAAATCACAGAGATTAGTAATCTGCGGAGAAATAGAACAGAGTAGAATATTCCTTTCTAACTTTTACTCATTTTCCGATCTTTTTCGACAGAATAAATACAAAATATGAATGGCTACCACGGCAGCTATTGGACAGTTTGCTCAAACTGGTTTTTATGGTGGACGAGTTTTGATCCTATGAGTCTTAGTACGGAATGCGGTCCAAAATGCTGCGGAATTTAGCGTGATAGGTGCGTAATAACATTCACTGGTTCTGAATTTTGAACTTCCCCACTCCATATGGCAAAACGTGAGAACAGCAATGGTTTGGCTCTTGATTAGTTTTGTTGAATTCACAACAAACCCTTTAAGGTTCCATGTTTTGGAGTAACACGAGGTAGCTTCTAAGCTCTTCTAATCTCTTCTAAGCTTCTAAGCTCTTTTGAAGCTAGGCACTACTTCATGAAACCGGAAACTCAGGTTGAATAACAGGACAACCGAATGACTAAATTTTTCCACAAAGATGTGGAAATGAGAAATCAGAGTAAGTGGGACTAGTGGAATGTGTAACGGTGATTATCACATTCCCAGGTATCCGGTTGATAGTCTTTCTACACGGTCTGTTCGAATCAAGCTTCCAAAGACTCTCTTTCGTTGGTTAAAGCTGTTCAGTCAAGGGATTTCGGTAGTGTCACTTTCCATCTTACGTACACACGTGTGCCTTGCGACAGTGTTGTTGTTCGAGGGTGTGGTGTAAACTACTTGGTGACCGGTGACCGCACACATCATGTTTCTTGAAAGTAGCAAGGTCGCTACTGTGGCCACACATTCAATCGCGCTATCTCACCAAGATTGGGATCGATTGACCCGCATGGATTCTGTTTACATTATTATTAGCGTGTGGCATGAAAACGTTCCAAACGGTACGATACTTGGAGTTACGCTCACAATACGGATCGATACACAGTTTTGACGTCGAGGTTGGTATCTTTGTCTAGAATGGCATACTTTGGCGCATAATCGAAAGTTCTTTTCTGGGTAACAGAATTTAGTGACTGGCTCGCATGCGGCCGGAATTTTCATTAGTCACTGGTTAAAGTGAACCTAATCGTCTGGAATTCATGAAAGCTGGGTCAAAAACCACAGACTGGTCAGTCTGTAGTCAAATTCATGACTCAATTCAGGGTTTTCACAAGGTCCGTGTAGTGGTACTGTTACCTATGATCCCGTGGGCGCAGACCAAAAAGATCATCAGTGCTATCAAAGGACAGTTGTAATAAAGATTCTTGCTATCATCAAACAGTATTTAAGAATGGTGGTTGTTGGCTTGTTCGCTGAGCTGGGCAATTTGATTGCAAACGTTTCATCACCAATCTAGGTGACATCACTGCGTTACTGGGGAGCGTAGTTGTGAGTAGCTGTGGGTTAGTGGTTGTGATGAAACGTTTGCAATCAAATTGTCCAGCTCAGCGAACAAGCCAACGACCATCTACGCTACCTGAGCTACCGACATTTTCCTCTATGGAAACGCATTCAAGAAATAAGCGCACTAAGCTAAGCATCGGTAAAGTTGAGTCTGTAAACATAGGTCGCTACCGGACACTGCAGATGAAAACTTTCCGGGGCTCAAAGAGTATTTTCATTAAACGCAAAACCGGGCAAGCGATTCTGGCTGCTCGGAATTCGCGAGCTACTTACAGCTGGTCGAGTTCAGGTAAGCAACTTGAATTGAAAAAAGGGAACAGCTGCGAACGCAATTTCGAATGTCTCGGACAGTTGGGATAAACGTAAAGTGCACACGAACGCACTACCGACCAGAACATGGTCATGTGTAATATAATTGCAACATTGACCCGCCTTTCCACTCGCAATGTCAAATATTGCTAGTCCAAATAAAAGTTTTTTCAGCCCTCGGACTAGGGGGCTTCCCTGCGGATCTTCACAACTTCTGGGATTTTTTTTAAAGATTACTTGCTATCAGAAGGTCAAGAGCCGGATGGCATTATTCCAAAGTGGTTGTTAGTGGTGAGCTTCGAGACTCAAAATAGAAACGCCTACTCATCTGTGTTTTGGACCATCACGTGACCTGCCAGTCGTCCTTGCTGACCATGAGGTCAATGCATGGATACGTTTGTAGAACTAATGCGGCGTACAGATCGCCCCATGTGTAATTATTTGAAACCTTTGAATTCCTACTGAATTTAGTGATTTTCCACCTCTAGCAGTGCTTGCTTGTGCACTTTAGTCCAGATTCAATCCTCCAACTAAAGTGGCCTAACTCTGAACAGGAACGCCGAGAAGCATTTTGTGGCTGCTTTAGCCCTGTTCGGAAGCATTCATAGCGGAAGCATCTGGTAGACTTCGAAAGACTCTAACCCGCAACACTCAAGGCCGCAGACTCAACCGTCTGACCTCGAGAGGCTGTTAAATCTGAGATCTGATTTACTGGTTCGATAAACACACGTGAGTTATCCCCTCGAATCGGCACATTTCTCCGAATTAGCATGCGAAGTGCTGCAAGATATCAGAATAGTCTCATTCAAAATCGGATCTTGTTCACACAGAAATGTGGGTCCATAGTGGCTGGATAGGTTAGCTACCGTGAACAGGACAAGTTTGAAAAAAGATCTACCGTGCGCTGATTCGTTAGCACAGAGATATTTGAACACAGCCCGTTCCAAATGGCTCTTACAACCCTATTACGATCTTCGATTTAGTGCCAGTAGTAAGACTGTTCTTGGAAATTTTGTCAGTGTAGTTGCTCTTTGTGCAGGCTGCCTTCCAGGATGAGCCTCTCAGAGCCCCCCCGCGCTTAGCTTATATGATTGCAAGAAATTACATCCCATCGATATCCGTGGTGTCCGTGCCATCAGTTTGATTCCAGACTGTCCAATTCAAAGCTTGAAGTTGTATACACATCAGAATATTTGCAATAAGCCAGCATTAGGCTTTCTTTTTTATCTAATCTTTTCTCTCATCTTCACTTTAAGTCTCCAAACATGACTACACAACATTCGTGGTTGCACGGCAGTGCGGCATCAGCACCAACACTGATAATGCTGTCTCATAATGATGACGGCAAACCACAAAAGTGCAATCCTAAAATGACCTCTATTTGTCAGGGCAGGCTTCAGCCTCTTCAATCTTAGCTCGAGAAGAGACGTCCGCGCTTTAGGTTTTACCAGCTGAAGTGAAATTTCGGAATTGAGGCCTTTTGTGATACCGCTTTTTAACTTTTATCTATATTCCTGTTTGCGGAACTCTCATGATGTTTCTAAATGAGAACACAGGTGGGTATGACAATATGAGGATGGCTGAGGTAGCCGAACTTTTGGTTTGGTGCTCCACAGTTCGCTCTGCTAAAGATGACGGCGTTGAGCAGTTTGACCTAAAGATGCAAAAGTCTTCAAGACCGATTTGTGAGAACGACATTTTTACTAGTGCGGACGGAGGAAAAAGTGATGTAATTCTGCTGAGCTCAGAAGACCGCTTGGCAATTTCATGTTTTGTTCCGCAGAAGTTCCGCAACTGATGGAACCAGTGTCTGACTTTGGTATCATCTGCTGGATAGATCTGGTCGAAATCCAACCGAGGCTCAAGGATGACCGGATAACCGCAACAAACTCTTCTCACGTGTGTAACGCTTCTAGCTCTGCTTACTGGGGGAAACGATTTTAAAAAAATCTATAGAAAAGGTTATACTGGGAATTTCCTCGGCTGCCCCTGTGTATACAAAGCAACATCTTATTGGAACACCAAATATGGCACCATAAACCTTGCGATCAGTATCTGCGTGATGCGTACAGAAAATTGTTCTATACTTCTTGCATTCCTCTTGAATTACAAGTAACAGGTGGTCACTGTCTTCTAATTACACTCAAATAAGACTGAAGCGAGAATTTCAATGGCAAACGCGGCCATCGTTTTTCGTATTTACACCATTTGAAAAGAATCTTCATGGGTAACATGATGAACAGTCGGTAATGTATATACAGAATAGGAGTAATTAAATTAGACCATGTCCTTGAACGGTATGCTTGAGCTTAAACATTAAAAGTGTACACCCTCTTCTTATCTTCCGGGTTTTGTAGATCTGTGTATTGACCAAAACATACAGACACGAACAGACTGCTGTCAGCAGGTTAAAAAAAGAACCTTTACGCCGATACTTCCCCGGCTGCACTTGTAACAAACCGGCAACAAGTGGGCGGAAAAGTTGTTAGTAAGTTACTAAAATTAGGAGGTCGCATCACGTGGTAACTGCCGCAGAAACGTGACTATTCGGTACATTTCCAGCCAGTGTTTGCAGGGTGGTTGACCAACCTGTCTCCTGATTTTTAAGAAATTAATGGCGGATTTTAAACCAAGTTCCTTGGGTAAAAGCTTCCGCGTTCTACGGTGCTGCTGTTATCTGGTGTGTTGAACATCCGAATGACGGATTTGAAACAGGCTTATGCATGTTCGCCCGCTGACCTTGTTGGTCTCGGCAACACACTACTACCGGAAACCTGCAGGCAGCACACATTCGGTCGTGTGTAACCATGAACAGATCAGTGTTTCAACTATTACTGAACAAGAAGATTGAATCTAACCCCACCCAGAGATTGACTGAATTCGAGAGATGTGCATTTATGCGCGCTGGTACGCGCTATCTACAAAACTTAACAAGGTGACTCTGTTGATCTTATCCCCTGAGTGTTCTTCAATTTCGTCGTAATTCTTTCTCATTTTAATCAGTAGTTTGTAAACAATGAACCTAAATTATGATGTTTCCCAGAATATGAGTTTGACGAATTCAAACCTCAGACAGACATCTATAGTTGATATTATCACTGAATGTTTTTTCTCTTCAAAACTCCCGTTTCAAACCAGGTGTTATAATAAAATATGTTCTCGTTGGAAGATCCTATCCATGAGTGCTTCCAAGTGTCCATACCGGCATTTCGTTCTGCATTCTCAAGTAGCCTTTGTTCCTGCCTCTGTTTCACAATGAGGGACTTTCTTGCTGACATTGAGTCGATAAGGAATGCTAGTGTTGTTGCCACTTAGTCACAGGGATCAGCGTACGCGACGGTTCGAACAGTTCGCTTTCATATTGACACCGATCGATGTCTTAAAATGGAAGAATGTTGTTTCTTCGGTATTTACACTCATTTGCAGATCAGTTTGGTTTTCACGATAGACTCAAATGAATCTTTTTTTATGATATTCCACAAATGAATGTGATGCACACAGGCCGGCTCATTTTTCAGTTGGCACGATATTCGAGATATTGTAGTATATTTTTTCATAAAGAAAACTACTCCCAAGGTTGCTGAAAACACGTCGACAGCCCACGACCGGTTCTGCCCTTCTCATCAGGTAGGCGCAGTCCCCGAGTTTCCGTCAACCTTATGATCTACTTGAACTCAAAAGAGATATTCAGTTGAGTCTCTCGTGAAGAACAAACTGATTTGCAAACGAGTGTATTTCTTGAAAACAGTGCAATTTGGGTTCAATTAAATCATAAGGTTGACGGAAACTCGGGGACTGCGCCTACCTGATGAGCCCCGAAATAGGCGAAACCGATCGTGGGCTGTTGAAGAGTTTTCAGCAACCCAGTGAGTAGTTTCCTTGATGAAAAAAAATGTTTCTCGTTCTAGCAGCCGTTGAATGAGATCGCTTAATAGTAGACCGACACCAATCGTGGAAGATATTGCTTATTCCTCCGAATAAGGGGCCACTTTTTGGAATTTCCTGTGGTTCTATTCCCTAGGCAACCGCACCAAAACTGACTTGCCGGCAAAAGATTTTTTCCAGAGCAGTGCATCAGGAATTCGGCACATTGTTTCTTCCCGGCATAGTCGGCTGCCAAATTCTGTGATTGTGAAGAACGCCGGCAGTATTTTTAGTACCATGGTTTTGCGTAAACAGACAATAGTCCAAAGTTAATACGATAAATCAGTAGAAAAACTGTTCACTCATCAACTGTACACCAAAAGTGACGTCAACGTTGACCTTTCGAGCAACTTGTCTTGTGTTGACGTAACCTTTATTTGATTGGTTGTGCATCACTAATGTCAGCCGTCTAATCTGATATCCCTTCAAGGGTGAAATACTTGGTCCAGATTGCAAGAATTCAGAACTGACCGTTTATTTTTTGGGACAGAAATTTGCCTAAAGAAGTTAGCGTGGCCAGTCCCTGGCCAAAAACACCAGTCAAGTAAATCAAAACTCCAGTTGTGACTGAATTGTTCCGGTCCCAAGCACCAACTGCCCTTCAGAGAAACCACCACTGTAACTGATCTTTTGGTGCAAGAAATAGCGAAAACCACGGAGTTTTCACGTACCCCGACTCCATTTGTGCATCTGCACATTCCAACGGAATGCCGATGATATAGGCCGACAAAGGGGAAATTTTCAGCACAAGGACGCACACTTGCATCGATTTTACAGATGCATCATCCTGTAAGGGAATTCAAATTACAGAATCAAATTTCAGAATCCTTTCATATTACTCTAATGTCATAAGTAGTCTGCTAAGAAATAAAAAGTCTCACAAGCTCCCTAGGTGAAATGTCTCGTGCCAAAAACAAGTTAAATTATAGTGAAGTATTGCCATATTAGTCTGAGTGCCTTGAGTTAAGTGGGGATATATCCTGTTTAAGTGCAAGCTAATCAACCTGCTGAGCAGTACCCTGGTACCGAAAATGTTTCCTTCAACAATTAGCCGGAAGGTCGCGGGTTCATTTCTCATCTGAAAATCCTGGGTGGTGCGCTGCAGATACTTTCCAACCAGAACGAATAAGCAACATGGTTCTGCTGGATTTTTCGGCACAGGCTGACTCTAATCGCAGCACTGAAACACAATGAGATTCTCAAGATCTCCAGACAACATCGCACGTACATTTTTGTCTTCCCGCACGTTCGATAGACGGTATTGCCAAAAGAAATTGTCCTTCTCGACAATTGTCCGGAAGTGGTCTTTGTTCCCGAGTACTACTGTACAAAGACACGTGAATGAGCCTTACATTACGTATAACTTTTCTAGATGGTTCAATTCCCTTCTCCAGTTGTTTTTCGTTGCATTTCAGACTTAGAAAAAAACTTTCTCGATTGAACACACCTGTTCCGTAATTAGTTTATACCAAGACGATTGAATTTGACCAGAAACAAGTCAAGATTGCGGGTGTACATTCAGGCGAACGCGGAAGTTGCATGTCTAATAGAGTCTAGACACGTTTTGTCTATCGCATTCACATGACCTTAGTCTTAAGTTATACATTTTTCCGGAGAAGAGCGACACTTCAGTAAGTGATAAGCACAGTGAACGTTAAGGATGCTTTGATGTTGAGCAGTTTTGACTGAGTTTCCTCTTGCGTATGATTATTTCATGCATACCTACAGGTGCGACCAAACAGAAACATCGGCAGTATTTTGGAATATAGGGAGCCTGGGTGCGCTGATGGGTCGTTGGTCTGTTCGCCGAGTTTGGCAGTTTTCATGCATACCTACAGGTGCGACCAAACAGAAACATCGGCAGTATTTTGGAATATAGGGAGCCTGGGTGCGCTGATGGGTCGTTGGTCTGTTTGCCAAGTTTGGCAGTTGGATTGGAAACGTTTCAACACCAGTCGAGGTGACATCATCAGTGCGGAGTTGACGGCGCACTGACGATGTCACCTCGATTGGTGATGAAGCGTTTGCAATCTAACTGCAAAGCTCGGCAAACAGACTAACAACCACAAAGAAACATGTTAACTTTTATGAGCCGAAAGGCTTTACTTAGTCTAGAAAATATCCATGTTATTTAGGTCCACCAATAAACAATAAGGGATTGGTGGGGTTTTACAGTGATTTTGAAAAAAGTGGCTGTAGCAACTTCTCGGTGCCCAAGTGACACGACACCCGAAGGATTCATGATTGCTGGGATTCTACCAGGTTGCCAAAACCTCGATAAGACAAGGTGAGATGTCGGGATTGGGCTCGAAACACGAACTTTCTGGTCAGTGAGTTCACATCCTAACGACTGAGTCGATGATGAAGTTTGGTAAATAAGATATTTCTTTGCTGGATACTGCTAAAAGTCCCCCCAGGTGAATTTCGTGATTTCTACGGATCACATACCCACGGGCTAGGTTCGTGGAAATCAGACGGCTCAAAGGGGGAATTAGTCGGCTGCTCATTTGCGTTTTGCCTCAGTTGGCGCCCAAAAGTAGAGTAGAATAGAACTGCTTTCTTATTGTTCGTACCTTTCGATTAGGATCACTGTGTCTCCAGATGTCTGCGCTGAGTATGGTCCTGCACTACCCGTGAATGTGAAATGACCAGGTTACTGGAATTTCAGTATAGATAGGCCAACCCTCCTAGTTAAAGACTGGTCAAACGTTGGAATCTTGGTGGTGCATTACAGGAAACTCACTGCTCCATACTGTCGTTCAATGGTTGAATATAACTGGCACAACTTTGCAGAGATTCGGTTCAAATCAACTAAGAATACCTTCTAGCTGAAGAGCGAACCAGCTCCAGCAAGTGAAAGTTCATCTGAAATCTACAGAAATTCAGGTCCGGTAAAAAATCGGGAGTGATGGCCATGTTTCTGTCTACTTTGCTCCATACGTGGCTGAAATTATATGTGACGCCATCTGTCTAGATAATGAATGGTTCAAAGGCACGTTTCCCTTTTAAGAGAGCTCAAAACGATGCCTTTTTTATTTTATCTACTCAAATAGAACAAAAAAGGGACTACTTAGTAGCTAAAAGCTACATCATTCATGTTCCATAGAACTACTCGTGGGATCTGAGTATGAACAGCTTCTAGCTGATCAGGTTGCCGAAAACACCGAAAATTCACCAAAGAATGATTATTTTGGCATCTGATTTTGACGAAAATCCTCTGGTCGAACAATCGTCCAATACAGGATGTAGAAGACGACGCTTTGTCGTGTAAGTTTTATCAAGAATTCTAAAAATCTTTCGCCACTTAGTGCTAGCGATACACTTACAGAGAACGTAATCGTAGCTCCATAAAGGTTTCTACTCCACAGCTCTGCAGGTAAACACAGATATTGTGGGCAAATTCCACTTAGTCGCCATTTCAGCTGCTCCCCAACCTGGAACCATCAAATTGTGAAATCACCCCGTTTTTGTTCAATTCTATTTTTAGTAAACTAACAGGTCTTTGTGGTAAGGTTAGCCGATTATTTCACTTGCGCTCACAGCCTTGGGTATACATGCCATTACTGAGCCATGTTTACTTGTCCAACTTTGAAGCATTATGGTACATTATGGTACCTATAACCAGGTAGACCGGATGCTGAAACAGTCAAGCCCATGGTCTACACTTGATAGTAGTCCACGTTTCGGCAAGGACAACTGAAATACAGGCGTAAAGCAAAAAACTTCAGCTATCAGTAGCTTTCAGTAGATCTGGTGTACAGCGCTCCGAATGTACATTGTTTTTTGCACATCATGGTGACAGCGTGTGTAGAATAGTTTCTAAGCTAATGCCATTACACACAAATTGAACGTGACTGATAAATTTAACCATGGTCAACTGGAAAGAACATCTAGTAATCTGTCATATGAAGATGTCCAATCCGATAAATTCACACGTGTCGGCGTACTACCGACTATCAACAAAGTGTGATGTCACGATGAGAACGCAATGGTGTAGCTGATATTGATGTGAAACGTGGGTTAATCAAAGCGGATGGAGCAGTAAGACCGCGGAGCAGGACAAAACTTCACTGAACAACCCAGCTGGTTGGGTGGAGTCCTAAAATGATAGTATCTCAATTTTTTCGACCTCACTTGCAGACTCGTGACTGTCATTTGGGAATAATGGGCGACCAGACATGCTGCACTTTAACTAGGCTGATACTACTAACAACTCTGATAAATAAAAACTTTATGCCAAAAACCGCATATTCCATAATTTTGAGCCATATCATCGTGGCTAAATCATTTCAGGTGCAAAAAAGGGGGTTCGTAAGTCGATATCCCAAAGGCTCGACTAGTTTCGAACTAGTATGCCTTTGTTGGTGGTTTGTACCACAAGAACGGGTGGTTCGATATAACTCATTGCAGCGGTTTTCAAAATAACGACGGGACATAAATCTAAGCTGTCAGCCAAGACTTTGACCAAACTTAGAGTTTAGGTGGATTACTTGTGGGGGTATTGAGAGGAAATGATGTAACTACAGTGGCCCTTCGGGAAATATATGGAAACCTCAGACAAAATCTCAAAAGATTATTTTGTTGAACGGAATATGAATGTATCCAGAGAAACAAAAACGTGTAAAGAACTGAATGGAATACGAGGTATGCGCATGCATAAGATTTCTATCTTGGGAAAAAACCCACAGCAGAACAGAGCTGCGAACTTGGTGGTATTGTATTCATTCGAACAGAAAGCCGACCGAAGATACCCAAATGTACTCGTAGTTCCCATAGAACGATTCGTAGAAGTCTTGTTCATTTGTTTTTTTTTATTTTAAAGCATTGGTTGCCATTGCATCTTTCCGCGTGTTTCTTTATCCCAAAAGTAAGGAATTCTACCGGGTTTCACAAGTTCGACCAGCGTTGTCCCCGTGTTGATCAAAACACACTGAGTTCACGAGAGGAGAGAACAAAATACCTGAATTCACGTGATTTCTAGTATCATGTTTCTATAAGAATGAACTAGGGAAATGTTCATCCCTTAGTTCAAGAGACGGAAGCGCGCTACTCTCAGAGGACGTCAGTTTTAGTCCTGTTTACCTCCAGCAAACCCGGGTGTTCTGCCACCTCGTTTGGGTCTAATGGGCAAACCTGAGACGTATCGATTTTGTTGAAGACTAACCCTGACACTTATTCAGTAATACAGAAGCGTATGGCGATATAAAATGTGTGCATATTACGGTGAGTTTTCTTTCCTAGTCTGAGAACCTCAAGGAAGATTTAGTCGATTCTTTCACGTCTGCTCCAGGAACTCGGTGTGAAACACAAAAACACCGTAACTTTGTGACGCACGCATCCTCGGAAATTGTAAGTGTTCCATATCGTCCAGAACCTGGATTTGGAAACAGAAAGGCAAGTCAAATAGTGTCAGCCCGTCCAAAAAATATAATATGCTTGAGTAGGTGTCACAAATAAAGCAAACTTTAAACAACGTGTTTTTCGGCAGGCCATCTGTGTTCTATGGACGGAAATCGTTCACAAAATGAGTTATCTTTTAATTAGGTGGTTGGAAACTTTAAGTTTACTCAACCAGGCTTGACGCGAAAAGCTCATTTTAATCCTAAAAAATTCAATTATTCAATAAAGATAGTTATAACCTCAAAGAAAAAGACTAAAATTCTGATCTCCCTACCGTATAGGGTAAATTCAGCCGCGAGAAACAAACGATGTGTCGCCGTACTCTGCATTTTGTGGCATGTTATCAAAAAACCAATCTCCGATTCTTGAAAGCCAAACTTACAACTTTCAAAAACCAAACGATCATACGTAGACCAACAGTTCGTTTCACGTAGAATAATCTCAACCGAATTTATGTATGCCTCTGAACGCTAAACCGAAAATCGCACAGGCCGTGAAAGCCTGCTTCTCAGCTTAGGTAGTAGGACAGAAAAATTACCTCTTTCTTGTCGTTGCTGTTGGAGAGTTGAATTGACTTTTACACACGTTTTCGATTCTGAAAGTCACGGCACATGATTTAACCTGAAAACACTTGTTGTTTTTGATGATGATATTGCTGTTGTTGACAAAGGACACGAAATAACTGCACTTTTTTTGGTGATATTACGTAGCCAGATGTGTTGGGTAGAATTTTGTTAAAATGAATGAAAATGCGTCGTTTTTTTCGATGAGACTATCTACCGATACCTCCAGTACTGGGGACTCATGTACGCTGTCCACTCAGGCTTTGACAAATCATTCTTGGTAACACTTTGGGGCCCGAATTCTAACCTATAATGAATTATTTCTGACTCGCTGATTCGATACGTGAGCTCTGCTCCGGCAACGACAAGAGTGAATTGTAAAGTCATCAGGTCTGGGAAGCAACTATCTTCTTCTGCCACTGTATTCTGTTAATTTCACATGAGAAAGTTGATGGACTTAGAAGTTCACGCTGAACTGAACACAGATCCTTGAATTTCTTGTTGCTAGAAAATAACGCCGTAACGTTTTTATGAAAAAACATTCATTTGACAGTGGGGTGGTCCATTTATCCTGTTAGCGAAACGATAAATCATCAATATCACTCGCAAAATTTACTACCTGTGGCACCAACGATTTAAACCTTAATGAATAGTTTAATAACTGAATGCTTGGGCTAACATTAGGGATGAGTATGACTGCGCTGCAGTCATCACTGATGACTGTTGGAGATGGTAGTGTATATATTTTACATCTCGGTGATAAGTATTCATCCACCATAAACGGATCAAATCAAAGTTTCCTAGGAGAATAAATAAGATGCAGTGCGTAGTGAAGTACACTTGCAACTTGCATCTTTCGTTGTATTCCGACGCGAACTGTTCCCAGTTACCTCAAATACCACATGAAAAACCCCAATTGGGATAGAATGATCTAAACGAGACAAACGTACGGTTTCTGTAAAACGGCACGATCAATGTGAAAGTCTTCCGTTTTCCCTCGAAAGGACCGAACTGATGTTCGATGAGGCTGCGAACGAGTGTCAAAGAGAAACAGTATTCGACTAACTACCGTCCATAATCAATCATTCAGTATAACTATGACGATGCGTAAGCATGCCTGCGGATCGAAGTGGTTGAACGTTTGTGTCCAATGCTCGTAGATACATGTATGTATTTCTGCACACACATGTGTTCAACGTTGTACGTATTCTGATTGATGTCCTTCGTTTTTCGACGGATACTCTTTGTGATCTTGGCATCACGGAGGCAAACAAAGAGGACGAATAAGTCGTTGAGCTGAAGCCAGTTGGTCGCGTAAACATATTCTGATGATGACCGAGGTTGCATCGATTTTATCAGAGGTGTGGCGTAAAGTTCAGTTCAGTTTCTTCCTTATGTTGCGTTTTTTTGCAGAGACAGTTGAACTGGTTTCGAGTTCTTGATTATTCGCCATTACTTCTTCCCCGAATGTCTTTCTTTAGTTCCCAGAATTTGTTTGTTTTTGCCAAGCGTAATACTTGTAGTTTTAACGGCAGTACTGACAACGTAGCATCTTCATCAAGCTAGCAAAGTCAGCGCTTGCTGAAACGTCTTGAAATAATGTGCCTGTTCTTTGAGCCTGTTGAGAATTTAACACAAAGTTCTGGCGAGATTCGAACCCGCATCCATATGTGGCTCACGTCGCATGATCAGCTGCTTGGTAGCTGGAAGGTTGTTATCAGATGTTTTCTCTCGGTGTCATGAAACAAATGAAGCTTGGTATGGGTGTGTTATTCTGGAATCTAAGTTTGCGTGTGCTAGAAATATCAAGAAGTATTAAATTGTGATTCCGTTCCTCTTCGTAATCATTACTAGCGCGCATCTTCTGACGTGAGCCACCTTATAATCACAATGTGCCGCCTGAATGAGAGTGAACGATACAGTTGTGTTTCACCGGTTACATTCCCCTGTTGGAATCAGCGTAAATCTTCTCCAGAATGCCCACTACCGACAAATTCCAGTAAGATATCTTGTTTTTACGGTAAAAAGGATAAAACGCCGCCGCTTTTGTTAATGTATTTATCCGAACCAGCGTCCGCCCTTGATGCATGAAGCCCGTTCATTACGTCATCCCTGGTTGATTTCACTCCACTATACCTTCGTGTTCGAAAACGGACAAACTGCGTTTCACAAACGTAAACTGAGAGAGTTTGAAACACTTCGTTGTGTGCTGCGTACCACTTTTTAGCAGGCGTGTACGATATATGGAAGTATGTCATCTGGGGAGAAGCGTGCAAGAATCAGATGAAAACGAACAACAGAGTCGGACAATTTACTCAGACGGTTCCACTCAAAGGTAGAGATCTTTCTTCGTAGACTCGCTCAGTCGCGACACGTCCACCGGCACAACTGTGTACCGAAAAATGAGCCAACTGGATTCGATTTCAATAATTGTGGAAAACGAATCATCAAACTCAAAAAATTACGGCAACTGGATTCGATTTCAATAATTGTGGAAAACGAATCATCAAACTCAAAAAATTACGGCAATTTTATGTGTTCGAAAAGGGGTGGCTTTTGACGTTTTGTGTTACCGGCAATTAAACACAGCAGCAGATATCACCTAGCCTTTGAGAACCATATAAACTCAAGCAGACACATAGATATTCCTCACCCAACGGCACATTGATGAGACCGTCTCCCTTGGTGACCAGCAAGCTGATAGTCGACCTCGACGAACAACAATTTGTGTCTGGTAAGATGGCGTCCTCACTCGTCACTCTGCATTATTGACGATTATGTATTCCCCTAACTCTATACCCAGTGTTGGGTTTCCATGAAAAAAATTTAACGGGCTGTATCCACATATACCTTTACTTGAATATCAAGTAGGTTTTCACGAGAGACTTAAGTGATATGATATAAAATTCCTTAGCTGAACGTGCTTCACAAAGACCGCCTCATGTTTCAGCTGGCACAATATTCGCGATATCGCGGTATATTGAAGAATATTATAAACGAGAGATTCAGTTGAGTCTCCCTTGATAACCAATTTGCTATTCAAATGAGTGCATTTGTCGAAATCGGTCCAATTGGGCTTCAAGTAGAACAAAAGTTTGATGGAAACTCGGGGATTGCACTTATCTGATGAGTCCCAAAAAGGACAAAGCCGGTCTTGGGTTGCCGAAGAGTTTTCGGGAACCTTGTGCACAGGGGCTACATCCACATTCATGCGATTTTGACCTGCACCAACGCGTTCAGGTTTCTTGTGCAGCTTTATAGTACCCATTTGGAAACGGCTGTCGGTGACAAGGATATCACAGAATTCAAATGTTGAATATCAAAATTTAGCTGAATACCTCAGCGTTGAACTTAAGAACGTTTTGGGACAACAGCAACTCTGCGTGCTCTCGATGCGTGAACAGTGAAGGTGTGTCCAGACCACCGGAATAAACCTTTTTATGTTGGTTGCTGCAAACGATGTCAATTCACCACACGGCCTTGTGAGCTTTCTTTGAGAACGCTAGACATCCTGCACTTTTGTGAAACACCACTGAAAACAGTCGATGACAAATGTTGGAAGTGGCTTTGTTAGATTCAAAACATGGTTACAACCTGACCCTAAATCCGTCCGCCGTTATCAGTAGGCGTATATTTTTCGAATGATTTGGGATTTCTTATTTGGTCTGGTCAATCTCAAAATGTATGAGCTGAGGCACTTGAAATTGTACACACCCACCTACCACTTCAGTTGTCGCGCTTAACGTATCACTGCTAAAGGTGGGTGGAGGTGCAACCGTGATCTCGCATGCGTCGTTCTCTAGGTTGTCGGCGGAATTCCACCCGTGGCTTCCAATGAGGCCCTAACGTAGAACGTGGTGGTCTAAAAAAGAAACTTTTTGTTACCTCGATCGAACCAATAAATTTGGTCAGCCTGACTTGAACAGTCTACCGGAACAAAGAATGTGAACAGTCTATGGGACGATCGACTGTATGAACTTTGAGAACACAATTGAAAGGCTGACCACCACTCACGCAGCCTCAAATTGCCAAATTTATAGAGCGAAAATTTCGCCCAAATTCATCACGCGTCTGAATTTTTATTGGGTTAAAGAAAGTAGCGCTATCCAGGGGTCGATAGATTAGATGAAATTTGGTTGCCTCAATTTAGGTGGCTAGTTCTCAACGAGCGTGATGTTAACGTTTGCTCAGAGTCATCTTTGTGTCGAGAAAATTCACTTGGCCGGCATGTGCTGTCCTTTGGTAAAGTCATTCACAACAAAGATGGCGAAGAATAGGCTAATAACTCCATATTGCGTCGCTTTTATGAGTGAGTTTGTCACCCCTGCTTTAAGAACGCAGAGGAATGGAGGGACCTTAGTCAATGTAGTTACCAGTCCCCTTTAGCCAGCCAGTAAAGCCGCACGGAGCGGAAGGACATTTCTCATCAGTTATATGTTATATGAAACCAATTTCTTTTATAAAAAAAGGATTGCTACATCGAATGAACTCTTTACTGGTCACCTAGACGCGAATACAAACTGGAATTTCACGAACTGGCCAAAAAATTCTTTCATATTTGTCTTCATGTGGAGGCTCTTATCAACTTATCAATTTTCTGGGCAAAGGATAAAAAGTACAGCAAAAGAACCCGATTCGGGACTGTTCTGCAACACATTGCACGTGGGCGAACTTTCTTCATAGTTGATGTCATTGATAAGGCATCGCGCACAAGAATCGAAGATCATTTTCCTGATATTGCAATACATAAGTCCCGTTTTTCTCGCAATAAGTCAATTTGCCAAAACGCATGAAATTTGTCTCCGGACACTATGAAATCGCTGTCCAAGGCCTATATTCATCCATGAAGTTCCTAGTCAATCATGTAATATCTTCAAGGAATGCTACGCCACTCTACTTATTCGTGACAGAACGGATTTTTATGTATTACAGTTCTTCTTAAATGAACCAGAAAGGCAAAATAAAATGTGGCGATTGAGGGTAATACCTCTTTTTGTCGCAGAATTGCATTCCAAGCTGCGCGTACCGTGTGTTATTCTTTGAAAATTCACACATACATTCGATAATCGAGTTGTTTGCATCACCCACCTTCAAAGTCCGGTCATTGTTCTACTTAAAAAGCAGGAAATATATCTTGTTCAATTAATCTAACATGACTAAATCGGTCCACATCACAAACTTCAGGTCAGAATTTAACAAAATGTCGTGACATTTCAATTTTGCTGGATAGGTTTTTCTATTTTCATTTAAGTCGTCTAAACAAGTACTTGGATAGCAAAAAAAAAAAAATGATGAAACGTAGTTGGCGATCTACTTCGACATAATTATTTCTTGCAGCTCGTGTCCATTCGGCTGTGGTTCTTTGTAGAATCAGGCTGATCCGTGGATGATAACGGAGGGATATGGGGATTGAATTACTTTACGTGGCCACCCCCTCAACGTTCTTCCAGAACGCGGACGCTGTTCGCAGACATATTTCCAGAGAATATTTGTCATCATCTACACTAGGTATTTCGAAGAATCTCACATTCATGTGAGATTCTACTAGTTTGGAGACAGCTTGTAAAAACGAACTCCCACAAATCATTTCACCTTTCCGTAACTTTTTGTTTTCCAGTCATCGGATTTCCCTTTAAAATAAATCATGTCCAGGCGCATTCTACATTTGCAAATCACATCGGTTTTTTGCGCTCTTTGCAGTGAGTCTTGAATCTCAAGGGGAAAATGATAACATAAATAAGCATCACTATTCAATATATTTGATTCGAATCTCTTTTCAATCATCTAAATTATCCACACCTCTTGTCGCTGTAAGTTGCGTACTCTTCTGTCTTTAGGTTATCATTGTTCCATCCAACTGTGTCGCCGTTTAAATCCGGGCCGCTGCTATTGATTATGTTGGTATCCGTAATACGTTTCTTCGTTGATCGGGGAAAACACAGTTGTGCTTTCGTCTCTGAGGCCTACATAAATCTTCAGAGAGAATGAGATAAATAGCAGAGCAGGTGAACATCTTTTCTCGACCAGCTAAATGATGACTTATGCCATGAGCTCCACAAAAGAAACTTAATGGGCCACAAAAAATCTAGTTTGTCTAACAAACCGGTGCCCTGGCAATTCAGGTTAATCTATAGTGCACTAAACGTGTGTTGTTAAAAACCAATCGGCATGGCGTGTGCAAAAAGGCGCAAAATAAAATTTGACATCCTTTGTATTCATTGTCTGTCTGTCTGTCTCACTGGAACCATGTGGTGACAGGAAAGTTCAGCAATCCAGTGCAAAACTTGAAAAATCAAAACAAGTATTTCCATTATGCTCAGCGATTCAGACCAAACGTGATGTATACTTTTCAGTGTTTCTGCAAGGTAATATGCACGTTGCCAGCATTTTATTCTTAGGTGACTTTGATAAATAGGCGAGTTACTGTCGAAATCTAGTGTTTTTTCTGACGACTTCCAACGCCCTTCCGGTTCGTTTCCATTTATAATTCTGTTGTGACATTCAAACTGACCCTAGGGTTGATTGCACGAATGAGTCTGCCTTCAGTCAAAATGTGCATTCCGGAACTAGCCTCTGCCAGAACCTGAATAAAAATGTGTTCACTTAAATTGATTTACCTAGAGAGTTAGGAACTCAAGCAGTTCAGACTCGTTATGCTCATATTCTTTTGAGGTAATTTACCATAATTTTCTCAAAGTGGGTGAAACTTCCATCTGAGAAATCAAGAATCACGAAACCTCATTACATAGTTACCTGGTGCTATATCCTACCTAAAAAATTATTAAAAATAATCGTTCGTCTGTAACATTCTTTCGGTGACCAGCTGCCAGGTTTCCCAAGCCTAGACGGGAAGTCAAGAGGCGCGTGTTGGGTTCGAACTACGAACCTTCCGTTTTGTGAATTCGCTCTCTAACCATTCAGCCATCTCACCTCCTATCTCGTTCCATCCTACCTAAGTACAAGTTATTCATACTGATGATCAGCCGTTCATGACAGAAGGTTTAACTATCCTACTTACTAATCCGGAGGTTGCAGTGACATAAACGGGGATAAATTTGAACGATCCAATGGACAGAGTAGCTGGTTGGGCTCGAAATCTGAACATTTGGTGTGTGTGTGTGTGAGTATGTGTGTAGACGAGTGCATCGGGAGCAGGCAGTTGTTGGACTAAGTAGTACGTAATTCACCAGATGATGTTCCCCCAAGGTTAATCTCATTAGTCGGAGCGAGATAGCTCAACTTGTTAGAGCGCGAATTTACTGACCGGTAGGTGCATGCTTCGAACCCGACCTCTGCCTTTCGAATTTTCCTGCCTAGACTTAGGCAAGCTGGCAATATCCAAGCCATCGTGCTTCCTTCCGGTGGCACGGCAGCTTGGCCCCCGGAAGAGTGCATCAGCTGAACGACGAATCTCATTAGTATCGTAGTGTGATTTGCGGAACTGTTTCTGTTTTGATATCATTTCCAACAGTCGGAATAAACCAACCCCCAGTTCTACTTAATAAAACGTTTTTAATTTATTGGTTATACGTTATACGAGGGAGTCATTGGTTTGTTCGTTGTGCTGAGCGACCTGATTGCAAACGTTTCATCACCAGACGAGATGGCGTCATCAGTGGGCTGTTACCTAGTGACGTGGCACGCATTGTTGGGTCAGTTGCTGTTTGCAGTTGGCATACAAAGTCCGGGGTTGTCTCCAGGGCTTTTGGATCTCCCCCATGTTGAAGTACATCACAGTTTGGTTTGACAAACCTAGCCTGGCTGTCTCCATCATGTGCTGAATGATGTATATCTCGCCCGCAACTCAAGCAAACTAAAAATCAATATTGCTAATCCTCCGATTGCTGGACTTGAACCACAGATAACTTGAGTTAAATCTTCACTCAGACACTATGTTCCAAGTCCCATCACTCCAAAATGCGGCGTGAGTTCACTCTCTTCTTTGACTGATTCTTTAGGAAGGATAATGAACTCACAAATTTTTCCCCATATATTTACATCCACCATTTTTATCATAGCGTGGAGGAGAATCCAACTAAGATATATTTCTTTACGTATGATAGGAAACGACAAATAGTTCCGCTCTGATAGCGTTCCGAAGCTATCAAATGAGAAAATATACTGCCAACTGAAACATGGCCTGTGTTGTGTGCAGCACATTCAGTTGTAGAATACCATTAACGAGAGATTCACTTGAGTCTCTCGTGAAAACCAAATTGATTTGCAAATTAGTGTATTTCTCGAAAACAGTCCAATCTGAGTTCAAGTAGAACATACGATTGACGGAAACTCGGGAACTGCGCCTACCTGATGAGCCCCAAGAAGGGCGAAACCGGCTGTGCGTTGTAGAAGAGTTCTCAGCAACCTTGTGAGTAGTTTCCTTCATGAAAATGTCAATTGACTTTCCGTCAGTACAAGAAGATATTCCTTACATTTGGAATTCATTTGTCAGCTTTATCAGTGCTGCTCTCTGCATGGAAACGCCCACCAAATGTATTTGACAACCAATGTTTGATCGTAGCGTGAGGAAATTTGGTAGCACTCAGTTCACATGTCGGTCCATAAGTAAAGCCATTCTATACTGAAAAGCTGAGAATCAGTGTATGGCTGTCTAGTGCTTACTGGGATCCATCAACAGCGCACATTCCATGAAACTGTAGTTGGGATTACGAACTGATGGTCTCTTGATAGTCGGTTGAACACTAATTTTCTGTCACGAGCAACCGATCCTCATCATGATTAACTTGCACTTAAGGATAGATTGGCATTGAGCGACTTCACCTGGAAGAGGTCCCGTTTGAGAAGAAACATTTTTCAAGCATAGCAATTTTCATACTGAAAGTAGGGAATTGGAGAAATTAATAGTGGCCGATGTGCCCTTAATGCACTATGACCTTGGTTTCCTACTTAGTTCCCGACTTAGTTCTCTAGATTTTATATTCTAATCTTTCTCATTTCTGATGAGATTTAAGTTATTACCCAACCGCGCAACTTATTGTTTACAGATCTAATAGCTTTTAACAAACAAATGTTTTCCAGTTTGATAAGGAATTGCTTGGTTCAAAGGATCATTCATTGTAACGACTTTTATTGAGCAGCACTCAGTGTTCAGATTCGGAAACATCATCAGTGTGCCCGCTGAAGTGAGAGCAATGAAGAAACTAGCACTTGTTATCGTCCTCGAGTGATCTATCTTCAGAGGGAGCTGGCAATAAAATAAGCGCCGGTATCGACTCTCTATAGGAGCAGCGACGCCCGTCCTTCAAGGACGCATATAGATTTTGTCTTGCTCTTTTACTTAAGCGATTCACTCATAATCTTGCCATTTCATTGCTTGTTTTGAATTTCAGCGGATTCTATTGTTACTCGAGATGTGGAGGAGGGTTTCTTGGTTCGAATCCTGTGTAACGTCTCAACGAATGGTCTACAAAATGGCACCGGTCCGCTGCGTTACGAATGGCGTAATCCCAATGGCACACTGGTGGGAACTCAGTGGAAACTGGAGTTGGGAAAAATTCAAGTACAAGAATCAGGAATGTATGTTTGCCGAGTTTCGTACGAGTATGACAATAAACAAATGTCCACCAGCTCTGCAACTCGGATCAATGTCCTGAAACGTGAGTTGTGATGGTTTCAACTGAAGGGCAGTTTTGTGCATCCGATTTTCAGTTTTGTATAAATCCCTTTGAAAGAATGTCATCAAAACCTAAAGTACGAATCTATTAGAGGATTAGAGAATTTAATTTTGAAAATTAGAGAATTAGAGAATTAGAGAAACTAGAAATGTAGCCTACCAAACGGTCTCGTAATGTCACCAGTTCTGCTTCTTAGAGGGTATTTAAAACCATATATAGGATGCATGCAGTTATTGCCGTATCCAGAAAAGCGCATTTAAACATATGAGTAGTATAACTGGAGGCTTCAAAGATATTCATAACCCCCATCTATCAGGTGGATGTCGCCCTGAAAACTGCTTTCACAAATTAATGGATAAATAATCCAGGTACACGTCTACTTTTGGTACACCAGGAACTGACGCCATCTCCACAAAAATGTGGCATTGTGATCATTCTGCTTGTCGGTTTTGTGGAAATCATTTGTTCTGGAGAGAAGCAAACTTTCAGTTAACCTTCCACTGTCACAATACACAGTTTCAGATAGCTTTTTAGAATGCATTCCGGCCACATTAAACTTATTTGAAAAGCCACCTTAAATGAGGTAATCAGGTCTGCATAGGGAAAAAATGATCAGTTATATATCGAGGTCAATATGCCCGTCAATCAAGATTGGCACCTTGTGAGCAAATCAGGTGCATAAGTTTAGCGAATATATCCTCATTTGCAAACTAATTTGCCTGGAGACATCACAAACGAGAGATTCATATGGGCTCCAGGTGAGTCTGTTGAAAAGCCAAATTAGTTTGCAAATGAGTGTATATTCGCTAATTTCGTGCAATTTGGTTTCAAATAAAACATAATTTTGACAGAAACCCGGGAATTGCGCCCACCCGATGAGCCC